CAAACCGCTTGGTTGGTCGTGCGCGCTTGAATTGGTGCGTCGATGCAGTCGATGCGAAACGCCGGCAGTCGCTTGGGCTCGGGCGGCGGCGGCGCTTCGACGCTGCCATCGTCGCTCGGCGGCGCAGGCTCAGTCGGCTTGTCCTCTCGAAACACCAACGGCGTCGGGTCCACGGTCGTATAGTCCGACCCGAGTCGGGAGATGACGAGGCCACACGAGCGATCTAGAGATTTGACTGCATAGTGAGTACTTTATCGTAATGGAGCAGCGCGTACGCTCGGGGCGGTTCGCTTTCCACATGCCATCGTAGACGACGCCGTCGGGGAAGACGCCGCGGCCTTTCCCGTCTCGAAGTCCGTCGACCCAGCTGCCTTCGTAGCTCTCGCCATTGGCACCCATGTACGAGCCTGAGTAGAAATTGGTGGCAGTGCACATGGGAGTGTTGGGTACCGAGGCCATCTTGACGTCCGTTGGCCCAAAACCCGTCGTACGTGCTCTCGTCGGGAAATCTACCTCAGAGAGATGAGCTCGTATTTTGTACCGCTCCGCAGACGTCTTGCGGCCTTCGCCGTGAAACTTGTGCGCTTCAAAGTCGCCAACGTAGTGGGAACCATCGATGTCCCAGAGCTCGCCGTGGCCTAATACCTGAGGCTAGGATGATAACGTGGATGGACATGCTGCACCGCAGTACTGATTGTCGCGCCAAGCACCTTCGTAGCGTTTTCCATTCGTCGAGAGAAAGCTACCTACGAGCGACAGAATACCATGCCATTGCCATGGGGAGGCAGTGGTTGCACCGTGGCCGTCGAGTTCGCCGTGGCAAAAGCTGCCCGCGTACGTCGACCCGTCGGGCCAGCGCCGCAGCCCCGCACCGGTCATCTCGCCCTGCTCAAAAGCACCTTCGTACGTGCTGCCATCGCCGAGAAAGAAGATGCCATGACCGTGCATCTTGCCGCGAGACCACGTCCCCGTGTACTTGAAGTAGCCGCCCGGGAACGTGTAGGTGCCTTGGCCATGCCGCAGCCGGTCTTTTGTCTCGCCCACGTAGCTCTATGCAAGACATACCTCTTTACTGCCAATGTATCGACGCTGTTGTTGGCGCACCATGCTACCGCGCCCGCCAAAGATCGTTTAAAACCGTCATCAGCCCTTGACCAACACGACAACGTGCTCGAGTACAGTCCATTGATGGCCCGAAGTTGGACAAGTCATCGAGGTGGTACCAGGCGTTTAGCTCGCTCGGCTAGCGCAGACCAGAGCTCACCAACGACGTGGCATAGCGTGCTTATAGTATATCTTAGCCCGCGAAGATGGTGCTAGGTTCGCATGCGCTGGGTGCTGGCGTTGGTGAGCCAGCAACTGCTTGATGCGTACGGTACGGGTGCTTGGTCTGCGTTGTGCGTCTGAGTCGCGCCGCCTGATCGGCGCACGGCACCTTCGCGGACGTTCGCGCGGCTGGCAAATAGCTTTCTTTTTGTATGGTATACAAACTCGACGATACAACAGCGCACAAGTTCAACTTGCACTTTCCGAGATTGCCGTTGCGGACAACATGCCACCGACAACGTGGACGCGCGAGCTCACGTTTGCGCTCAATGGCACTAAAGTCGTGCTGCAGGAAGGCAGCATCGGCCAGCTGCGGCTCGTCGACTACATCCGGAACGTCGCGCGGCTCACCGGCACCAAAGTCGCGTGCGGCGAGGGCGGCTGCGGCGCGTGCACCGTCGTGCTTCGTCACCAAAGCGTGACATCGTCGCAGCTCGTGACGCGCGCCGTCAACGCGTGCTTGATACCGCTCGCTGCCGTCGACGGCATGGAAGTGCTCACGGTGGAGGGCGTCGGCAGCACCAAGACAGGCCTCCACCAAGTGCAAAAGACGCTCGTTGAAAAGTCGGGCATGCAATGCGGGTACTGCACGCCGGG